AATAACCCATGAAGCATTATAAAAAGATGGAAAGAGTACAGAGTCACTATATAAAAAAGAATTGGTTGACATAGAAGAATTTAATGAAACAACATATGATCAAGAGCCTATGGTGATAAAGGAGGAAGTTCAAGCTGCTATGAAGGAACTGGCAAAAAAGGAGGTCTGAGGAATTGATGGCATACAAATTGACATTATTTCAAGAAAATATGCTGCCCTGGACACACTCACCAGAGGTTGTGCTAAGAAGTCTGGAGGACAACCATCTGGCCAAATGACTGGGCAAGATCTGTATTTGTTCTGATTCCAAAAAGGTGAGACGTCAAAAGTATGGAAATTCGACAATATCATTACTATCACAGGCAAGGAAGATTTTCCTGAAAAATTATCCAAAAATGACTGGAAAAGCACATTGATGGAGACCTGCAAGATGTGCGGCTGGGTTTAGAAGAAGCTGCAGCACTAGAGTTATTATAGCCAATATTAGATGGATCTTAGCTGAAATTAGAGAGTATCAGAGGAATGTCTAGCTGTGTTTCATTGACTATGCAAAGACATTTGACTATGAGAATCACAACAAACGTTTGTTAACTCTGAGAAGAATGGGAATCACAGAACACTGGATTGTGCTTATGTAAAACCTATACTTGGACCTTGGAAGCAGGAGTGGCATCCAGTTCCTAAACAACATGCCTCTGGAAACTATGAACTTTGATAAATGTTGATAGTTGCAGAGGGGCTTCAGGCCTTTTGTTCATAGGGTAGCTATGAGTCATGCTTGACTTGAAGGCAATTAAAAAAAATACAAGCAGTCTTTAGAATAGGGCAAAGAAACACTTCATGGTTCAAAATCAGGAAAGGTATATCCTAGGGAAGCCTCCTATCTCCACACCTTTTTGATCTATATGCAGAACAGATCATTCAGGAGGCTGGGCTCTGTGAGAAGAAATGTGGCATCAGGATTGGAGGAAGACTTATCAACAATTTGTATTATACAAATGATACAATCTTCCATGCAAGACTGAGGAGGACCTGAGGCATTTGCGACAGAAGGTCAAGGACTGCAGCCTTAAATATGGATTGAAATTCAACATCAAGAAAACAAAGATTCTTACAACTGGGCCAATGGGAAGCATCATGATAGATGGCAAAGAGATTGAGATTAATTGCTTCAGCTTTCTTGGCTCCAAAATCAACACTCTCGGTACCAGCAGCCAGGAAATTAAGAGACTAATTGCATTGGGAAAATCTGTCAGGGACTTCGCCACAGTATTGAAGTGCAACAATGTCAGTATGGAGACTAAGGTGCACCTGATCCAGGCAATGGTCTTCGCAGTTACATGCTATGCATCAGAGGGCTGGACAATGACTAAGGATGATAGAAGATGAATGGATGACTTTGGGTTGTGGTGCTGGAAAAGTCTTGTACATACTATAGACTGCCAGGAAAGCAAATAGGTCTTGGAGAGGGTGAAACCAAGTTTCTCCCTGGTTGTTGTTGTTATGTGCCGTCAAGTCGCCTGCAACTCATAGCGACCCTATGTACAACATCCCTAAACTCCGCTCTGTCCTGTGCCAATTGCACTGTCTCTAACACTCCCATCCCAATTATCCCAGTCACTGAATCAATCCACCTCATAGAGGGCCTTCCTCTCCTGCGCTGTCCCTCCACCCTCCCA